AAAGTCCAGAAGCCAAAGAGCCAAACGACCAGTACTTTCAGCCGCAAAACACGTTGATGCAGTGGTGGAGTTATATCAGGCCGACTGGAAAGCACACTTCGCGCGACAAGAAGATGTTTAGTCGTAGTCAGACTATTGGGAAAGACGAAGAAGACGAGCTTTCTCCGGCTGAAGCAGATCACGCGACATCGTCACATAGCGCACAACCAAGGAAGCGACCCCAAGCAACCCGTGGAGACTCAATTGTCGATAATCCCAAGAGCCACCTAGCACCACCCAAAACGACCATCTTCGAGTCTGCTGGTGACTTGATCAACCCTCCTGTTCCTCCCCAATCTTGGATCACAGACCCATCCACTCGAGCACGCACCATCTTCCACGACAGAATTTACCATCCTGAAGACATTCCACCGCCACCTACGAAGACGAAGCCAGTGCGCAACTTCTCTGGTGATAGTACTGCTTCAAAGGCATCGACAACAAGTGTCGACGAGAGTGTGATGCGCGTGGAAGAGAAGATTGCTCGCGCTTATCATAAGGACCTTTCTTGGCGCAAGGTTCTCGTCAGCCTCGAGCCCGACGCTCATAACAACATGATAGTGCGTCGTATGTTTGCTAATGCCTATGGTTGGCCTGTCGTCAAGCACCTTTGCGATACGCACTTCGCAGACACTTACTCGGCAAATACGCGAGATGAAGAGGAGCCCGCCCTTGATCGTGCACAAGCCGTGAACAAGCCAATCAACGAAGATGGCGAACACGTCAAGGGACAGGAGCGACTGCAGCCACCTATCGAGCGCACTGATAGCGAGATGAGGGAAGTCGCGGACGAACTAGCCCCGCTCAAGCCGCCCAGTCTAAGGATACCCAAGAGATCGAATACGACCGACTCGACCCGTAGTGTGGGTTCGGGCGACTGGGACAGTATTTACTTCGGGGAGACTAGTGACGAGGAGGATGAAGTGGATGACCGCAACGCTGTCCAGAAGTTCTTCCAGCCTAACATGCCCAGAAGCCCGCGAAGTCCTTCCGGAGGTCCACCCAAAACACCGGATGACAAAGGCACGAGCGATGCAGACATCTCCGACTTCCTCCATGGATCCAGCACACTTGAGGTTCACCGAGGTCTTGGCGCAAGTCCCAGCAGCAAGTCATCGAAGTCAGCTACATTGACCCGCGAACCGGATTCCATGGAGTCGACTGGCGAACCACCCAAGGCTTCTGAGGAAGCAAGACCGGTAACACCTGCTGGTAGGATCAGCGGAGTTGGGTTGAGGAGTTCTATCGATATCCCTGCGTCGCCAGAGGCTGGACGAGCAAGAAGTGGGAGCACGGTCACTGAGCAGGTCGCGAGGCTTAGCAGCCCCAAGAGCGACAAACATACAACGGGCTCATAGCATCGAGTTCGTCGATGGTTCAGACAAGCGATGGCAGCCCTTAGACGCAGGAGTTCGAAGTTGCGACGTCGAGATAACACCCGCGTTTCCAGCGTGTAGCACAGGTTCAGAAATCTTCCCTGGTCTATTCTTCAACTTCTTGTGAGGGTCAGTCAAGCGTTTTTGGTCTCGGGTGCAGTGGGTGTTACGTGACGTTGGGTTTGAGATCAGTGCACAGAGACGGATGCTACACGAGCGAAGTCATGGATCGTAGCACAATCGCGTACACAAAGATACCCCCAGATCTTATTACATGGTTTGTAGGAGCAAGGGCCTTCTTTTTCTCGTAGCATCGTTTAACTCTATTTACTCTATAATTCTCTTCTTTGGGGTCGTTCTTTCCGTCGCTACATGCTCCTTCCCAAATCTGTGTCTCTTCAACAGGCGTCACCGTACGTAGTAAACATATCGGAAGCGGCTGATTTTCTCATTTTCCCCTTCACTCGCTGGTCTCGAGCTTCTCCTCGCCTACGTCATCTTTATGCCGCGCCTTCCCCATTCACTGCCGCTATTGTGCGGCAACACGCTCCGTTTGTTGGTGGACAGAGCTCCAAGCTCGGTTTGTTGTGGTCGAGTCACCACTTGAGCGGATCACCACATTCCACAACCGCAACACGATTGCGATTGCCCAATGCAACGATAGTTGTCGCGCTTCTACTTTGGTCTGGGTCGCTGGCTTCGTTCTGGTTTGATTGCCTCGTCGCACTCGAATCGCGCACCTGCACCACCGCCAATCGGCACTACCCTACAGTACACGAAAATATACCTCCTTTGGAATAATGGTCGTACCTGATTCCGCCAACCCCGCGTGGAGCATGCGCCCTGCCGCCGTGATGGTTGGCGGCCAGAGACGCCGCAACACGCGCCGTTCCAACGCACCGCGCTCCAACACTACGCCCAATCTCGGTCTTGACTCACTCGCCGGGAGGGAGAATGTGAGTGGTGTCACTGCAGCACAGCATACGGATCAAGTTGAACATTCTCATGTTTCACCCCCTCCTGCGCCCTCGAATCCTATGGTCAACTCCTACGTACACAACAGTGGCCCTCCAGGCGACCGTCATCGCCCTCTCCCAGCGCGTCCATCCGATGGCTTTTCGACTATGCCGGCCGCCCATTCGCCTACACCCACAACAGGAAGCGCATCAACAGTAGCCACGGAGGGCAAGAAAAGGCATGGCAAATTCGGCCGCAAGGCAAAGGACCAAGACCGCCCGAGCAGCTCCCATGAGCCTACTCCCCAGCTGTCGCCTCTACCGCCGTTGACGCCTATCAAGGCTGCACAGTTGCTGGGCGTGGACACTGGACCTAGCCCTGGTAGACCCCGGAGTACCTCTGTAGGCCGTCCGGCCCAGAACGATGGCGGCTACGATAGCCTACCGATACGCCCGATATCGACAAGGCGAGGCTCTATGTCGGCAATAACCACTCAGAAGAGCGCGTCGGACAGACAGATGAGATTCACGGAAGAGGGCCTTGACATGGAGCCATCAAAGCCCAAGGGCTTCTGGGGCAACACTAACCGGAAAGCTCAGCGAATGTTAGGCTTACTCCAATCTGCACCATCTAATGCTAGCCGTGAAGCCGACATGGGGCGCGTCGCAGCTGTTTCTCTAGCGTGGCGTCCAGAAGAACATACTGATGCATACTGCAGTAGCGACGCCGAACGCCATGGCCAGTTCCGTTCGCTCCCACCAGTTCCGCCCGTTGTTCCCGAAGCTCCGAGAAGACGTATGCGCAAGAAGCTTCCTAAGGAGCTCGAGAGGATGGCACCCATTACAGAGACGTCGCATGATGAGCTGCGCACTTCCTACAAAATCAGCGAACATGATCCTGAGCTGAACGACATCTCTGAGTATGCGAAAGCTCCTTCCAAGGCACCGCTATCTCGGTCGCGTAATGAGTCATTGCTCACAACAGACATCAGGTACGACTTGGAAGAGGACGACCTCTCAATCACAGACGAAGTCATTGATGAGGCGGCTCACGACGAGCAAGAAGACTTCGCGGCCCATCCTGGTAACGAGGTTGAGGTCAAACATGGCGCAATTCTGCAATCTACGGTGTTCCGCCTCCGCGGCCCACTGCAAACGGTTGAAGACCGTTTGCTTGACGAAGCAGAGGCGCGACTAGCACTTAGCAAGGCTATGCTAGACCAAAACGACGATGATAGACTCACTCTCGACGACACATACGCTACCTTGAAGGCGTCTAACGAGGCCATGAAAGCGGATTTTGCTGCCGCACAGCGTTGGCACGCCGCCCCAGATGAGTATGAGCATTGCGGTTGTGCGGATAGGCAGGTTGACAGCGACGACGACGATGACTTGGAACCCATTTGCAGCTGCATTGACTTGGATGAAGAGCCCACCGTACATGTCGCCACCGCCGTACCAATGCCCGTACCCTTCATGCGGGTCACACCTGGCATGGTCAAGCTTATCGACATTCCGCCTAGGAGGAAGAAACCAGCTGTACCGCTGGCACCGCCTGCACCACCCACACGAGTCACACCGGTTGCACCCAACCCGCTGCCTGTGCTAGCCTTATCTAGTCAGCTCAAGGCGCCCTTCAAACCTACCTACTACTTTCAACATGACGAGAAGATCAGTCCATTCAACGAGCGCAGTGAGCATGTGGAGGTGCGTAAGTATCTCTCAACTACTACAGATGCAACTAACAAAGTCTAGCCTACCGTGATGCGTGGTCATCTTTCCGCTAGCGAGTTCAACCGTCTCGACAAGGACAAGAGAGTGAAGCTTCCCCGCGACGAGTCACGCCTTCTTGTCCAAGACTGGATGTCTGACTACGACATCACAAAACAACGCCCTCTTTCCGAACGTCTCGATCTCGATGTACTTGCCGACCAGCAAATCCCTCCTGCCCCATTTCCCAAAGAAGATCACGCTACACCTCCCCTCCCGCCCAGTTCGTTATCCAAAGAGCACTTTTGTCTCAAGGACGGCCACATATTCCACCCCATCAACCTTAAGACTGTACCCGACGAAGTCGCCATTAACAGCCTGGAAGTCCGACCGTATCTGCATACCGCTGTTGGCTACAAGCAGCATGTTTCTGTTCCTGTCTTCTGCGACCGTTGCGACGAAGACGTCAAAGAAGACCTCTGGGAATGCGACATCGATGTTTGCCGCATGGGATTCTGCAAGCAGTGTGCAGAGGATATGGAGCATGAGTGGCAGGAACGTGTCGCTGATGCTTGGACTCGTTGAGGGTCGTACATTGATGGTGTTCGCGACAAGTCACGACAAGTCACGATGTGTATATTGAAAGATTGGATTGAAGGTGGATGTAATGATATGAAGGGGTGTGCAAAAGTAATGATCAGACGAGGAGCTGAGCAAACGATGTAAATACCCGACGATCGCCGTAGATAAGGTATGATGGAGTAATGACTCTATGATCGATACGCCAGCTTTTCCTTGCCCAAATATCATAGTTGGCCTAAGCCGTTCGCTTTTGTATGCTTTCAACGCCGAACCCGTTCACCAAAATTTTCGTGCCGTCCCAGGAAATATCCGCCAAAGAACAGAAGGATGCACCCGTTCAGACACGAGTCTCCTTCGTCTCACCCAAAACTTTCATCTCATCACTTTCCTCCTCCTTGATAAGGACTACATCTCCATCCAACCTCCAACCACTCCCACCCTTCTCTTTCTCCTTCTCCTTTCCCTTCACAGCTTCCCGCTTATCACCCATGACCCCCACTGCGACCGGTGCAGGTGCCGAACTAGCGAAATACGCCCCCACAGCCCCCAACTGGCCCGGACCCGCCTGCAACCCATGAATAAACTCATTCCTCAAATCCTCATGTTCGTTGAACAGCCTGTCCCACGCGTCTTTCAAACCCGTCGAGAAATGACCTTGTTCGTGCGACACGGATAGCGAGCGCAAGATAATAGCGTTGGGGTTCTGCTGCGGGCCCGGCTGCGACCAGTATGATGTCAGGGTGTGGAGGAGGAGGTTGCGGAGGGGGGACGGTGTTAGAATCGTTGATATGGGAGAGGATGAGGGTGTAGTTTCCCGCCACACATGGTCGATTAGGGAGGGGGTTAGGGCGAAGTGACGGCCTATACCGGAGTAGATGTGTTGGATGGTGTGGTTCATGAAGGACAAGGTGCCGAGGCGTTGGGCGAGAAGCCAGGCGTGGATTGAGGGGGGGATGGGTTGGGGGGAGGTTATGTTGTGGGGGATGGGAGGGGGTGGCATGTTTGTTGGAGTCCAGTTTCGGATATGGGCGGGTGGGCCGTTGAGCTGCAAGTGAGACGGTGTCTGAGTGGATAATGAATGGGGTGCTACGGTCGTCGCTGGAACGGAGACAGTCCTGTCTGCGCTGGCTGTCTTCGGGTAAGGATTGGCGCTGTTTGGCAAAGTCCTCGCGTCGACGTTGGATGGGTATGTGTCCTTGTAGATGAACTTGAGGAACAGTCCGAAGATGGCGGGATCAACTTCTGGCAACCTGATGATGTTCTCTTCGTTCTTTGCAACCTCTTTCGTGTCTTCCTCTTTGGCAAACTCTCCATCCTCTTCCTTGATCACCACCACGTCATCGTGGGAAGTGGAGAGTTTGCGCTTCTTGCTAGCTGTGTGATCCTTCAACACCGTGGCGTTGATGCGAGTAATCTGGTCGCGAAAGTAGATAGAGTGAACGCAGAGTAGAGCGACAGGAAGCGTGTAGGTCCGAGATGATGGGTGTTGACCGACAATGACTGTGATGGAGCTGCCCTGAATCCTTTCTTGACATTAGAGGAGTCGCTTCAGACTGCGACATCACCTGCTTACATATCGAGGAACATGTCGGAGTAGATAAACTTCTGTGGGGCTGCCATGGGTGGAGGTTGCGCGTGCTGTAGAGTCGCTGGATGCTGCGTGGTGACACCCATTTTGGACTTTCAAGTTGCGTGTGAGCGAATTATGCTGAAAGAATCGACCTTTGGGGTAGAAGCAGGTTGGTGGAGGATGGAAGAAGCCTCTACCGCAATAGACAGCTTGTATATACGCCGGACCTGAAAGAGGTCAGCCAACGAGAGTGGCGAGAAAACGTGGCTGTGGGCAATGAGCAGTGAGAGACAACTTCACCTGGGGTCAGGTAAGACTGGGTTGCTAAGACGATATTGCGGCACGGGTGTATCATAGAGTCGATGCTATAATGAGTCGTTGGTCGACAGGTAGTGCTGCTGTCCTTGGTGCTTCATGACTTGATGACAAAATGCAAATCGTAGCAGCAATCAATCGCATAGTGAACGTGTTTTGGGGTATATTATGTCGTTATTTCATTCGTTATATAGTAAGCAGTTGCCTTTACGGTACACTACCTGGGTATCAACACTGACTGCGACAATCGCCCTGACAGCCCGAGTTATTTCGGCTCTTGCTGCCCTCCGAGTACAACGTAGCATCATCCATGATGTCATCCAACTCCACATCAGCTTTCCCTGTCATGCGGAAGCTGGCCTTGGCCGGGCATGTCACGACCGAAGAGTGTTTGTCGCTATTCGCCACCGAGCCACTCTCCTCCATCTTTGTGAATCCGCCACGGTTGCTCGAGCTGTACGTCCTCTTGTTGTCCGTCCACCTTTCCACATCATGGCAACGTGTAGCGCCATCGCCGAAGAGGTTCTTGTGTTGTAGAAGATTGACAAGGCGGTTGAGGACAGAGAACTCAATCTTGAGCTTGATGCTGTAGATTGCCGTCTTGTACGTGGTTTGGATTTCATAATGGCCGGAGAATTGGACTGCGATGAGCGTGATGTCGAAAGCCAGCACTGCGACATTGACGATGATCAAGTGGATGAAAAGCTTTCGTAGAGATCCACGTCGTCGACCACAATCTCCACGAAGCATCTTCACTGTTCGGAAGATGTAGATAACCGATATGGCCATCTCTGCAGGCGTACAAAGTCAGTGTCTGTCTCACATGCAGCTCGGATGGAAACACTTACCCTGGACTGAAATAGCAACAATCTGGACCTTGTCGTAGATCTCGAATCCCGGGAGGAACTTGAGGGAATCTTTGGAGTTCGCGCCCATGGCAAAGGTGAATAGAGGAACGCCGAGAGCTATCGTGGTGAAGATGATCATATAGAGCACCCATCTGATCTTCCTGGCGTCCGCGACAACAAGATGCAGGCGAGAGTACAGTACAAGAGACTGTCCCGGGCACATGGTGACCCACCCTACGCCGATGATGGCGCTCGAAAGCAAGTCAAGCTTCGTGACCTGGAAGAACTTGAGGATGAACCCAATGGCGTGAGGGGCGATTCCTCCTGCGGCGATGAGCATACTCCAGAAATACAACCCGCGGCGTTGTTTGAAGACGGCGAATATGAGGAAGAGGATCTCAACCATGTTGTACATTCCGATGGCGAGGAATGCAGACATGGTCATAAGGATAGGAATGCTGGCCTGTACGCCGCCAGTGACGCCGGACTCTGAATCTTTGTCCGACATGGTGAAGGTAGTCAGGTGTCTTTCCGTCGACTTCGAAAGTAATGAGATGAATGAGGGTGAGGTAGAGAGCGCATTCGTTGAGATGGCGAACTGAACTGGAGGATCCGATATCCACGTGGAATCCTGGGGTATTTCAATCAAAGAGAGTGTTGGTGGCCTTGCTGATCGACGCAGATGCTGCAAGATGCTGATCAGCGAACATGTTGCAACTATAATTCAGTGTGGTTGCAGTGGTGGCAGACGGTTCACCATGAGAGGAACGAAGACAGCAGAAGGCGTTGCGGACACTACCCCAGAGACTGACTCGATGCATGGGTGCCTGACGGGTTCGTGGCGTTTGTGGTACACTTGGCCATGTCATGAACCATACAGGTGAAGACGGGGTCACGACGGGGGCGCGGATTTGCGAGCCCCAATGCTAGTCCTTGGTGATCGTTGATTGGGCCCGGGGGACCTAGTGGCGCATGGCATGATCGTGGATTTCCACAACGGGGCGCCGGTTCTGCTTCCCCATCATCGATAACATCGGATTAGCATGTTTAAGCGAAAAAGCAGCCAGTCGGAATCCAATGACCAGGTCAATGCCCTCGTACGTTTAAACTTACGTTGCTGCCCAGTTGGGTTGCACCTGTACCTGAGTGGTTTCTTCGCTTTCGCGTCAAATCGGCGACTCAGCCGAAGCGAAACTCTGTCAGTCGCCCCCATGATGGAAATAAACCCTGGGTCGATTATCGCCCATCTCCGTGCCGTTCTGCGGTATTTCCAGAAGGGATCAACAGGTATAAGGCGTCCATGCGAAGAAATTCAGGTCGTTTCTTGCATATGCAACGCATGCGAAGGTTTTCCTACACACTCGTGCGCTGAATAGCGAACCACTCGTTCTCGTTCCTGCAACAACCTTGCCACAGCATTCGTCGAGAGCAGGAGGTCCGTGGACGGCTGAACACGCTGCGTCGGTCCCGTGCGCCTTAATATCGCCAACACCCTTGGCCCTGGTGTTGCGACATCTTGGGCTTGCGCCATCCTATATCCGCACTGGGAATCGTTGATAGCGATGGAATTTGGTTCACACAGCCCCTGCATGGACGCGAAACGCATTATCGCATCATCAAGCCGATGCGGCTCTTTTTCGGCGCCTTTGCCTTCCAAGACGGACTATAATCGCTTCGCCCTTGTAGCCCGAACCTATCACTCGAAGTTAGCTAAGCTACATGTGTAGGCCTTCCGTGATTAGTGATGGCTGTTGACACTCTATACCCGGATAGTAAGGTACGATTGTGGGAATAAGAGATTAGTGAATGGATTCATGGACTATGCTACGTGGCTGTCCGAGTTAAACAACTTGAAGTCGCTCAGGTAGAGTCGTGAACCGCGTCATCGACGATGGTCGTAACTCTATAACCGAATGCAACCCAACAAACCGCTGGAAAGCCTATCTAGTCCCAGTAACCAGGAACCAAAGGTGGCAAAATACAGCACTCGTCATTGTATGGACGATGTCGCTAAAGATGTCCGTTTAGACTTTGGGCTCAGCGTGGACATTCTCGACATGACCGTGGTCGTGCCCGTGACGTCCGACCTTGAGGTTACCGGCCTCAATGTCGCGGGTGACACGGTCGAGACGCGACTCAACCTTGCCAGCCTTCCAGGCAGGAAGACCAGAGTCGAAAACGTCGTCCATCTCTTCAAGGGTCTTGCCCTTAGTTTCTGGGGCAGTCAGGAACATGTGGATGAAGGCAACGGCGTTGAATGTTCCGAAGATCATGTACATCTTCCAGTTGATGGACCACAGAAGAGGGGGAACGGCAAAAGCAAGAATGCAGTTCCATGTCCAATTGGCGGCGGTAGCGAGCGACACGGCCTTCGCGCGAACCTTGGCGGGGAAGATCTACAGAGGTAGAACAAGTCAGTGTATGTTTCACATGCATCCCTTACAGTGAGAACTTACCTCGGACGGATAGGTCCATGACGTCGGGCCCCATGTGGTTGCGAACGTGGCTACGAAGAGGTATGAGCAAGCGACAATGCCCTTGGAAACGGCGCTGTGCTCGCGAGGTACCACCCAAGAGATATCTTTGTCGGTAGTGTCTGGGTTAGGAATACCATAGGAAGCCTGCAGAGCACCTGTAGTATATAGCCAGACAGCCATCATGAAAGAGCCGCAGAGGAGAGCAGGACGACGACCAAACTTGTCGAGGTAGAGGATAGCTGGTAGGGTCATGGCGACGTTGATGATGTACTGAATTGACGCAGTAAGGAGCTCGTCGGCAATACCCGCTCCACGCATGATGAAGACGATGTAGTACATCATGATGTTCATACCGCAAAGTTGCGACCACATCTGGATGGACATACCAAGGATGACACGCTTAACAATGCGAGGCTTGACCAGGGCGGCGAAGCTAGTCTCAGCAATCTCACGCTCGAACGCAAGCGCCTCTTCGATCTCCTTGTATTCCGCAAGAACCTTGGGGTGGTTGACGTTGCCGGCGCCGTGAAGATTGGCAAGAACCTGTAGGGCCTCCTCCCAGCGGTCCTTGGAAGCCAGCCATCGAGGGGAGCGAGGGAAGAAGAAGAATCCGATGAAGAGGATTGCGCCAGGAACAGCTTGGACACCCCATGGGATTCTAAAGGCCGCAGTGCTCTGGTTCGGGTTGTTGACGCCTCCATCGACGAAGGAACAGCCGTACTGGATGAAGTATTGGATCAAAATACCCCAGGTAATGGCCTGCCGGAATCAGTTTGGATTACATACACGTATCAAAGAGTGACATACCCATTGTTGCAAAGACACCACTCTACCTCGGATTTCTTTGGGCGCAATCTCGGCTTGGTACACTGGAACGATGGCGGAACAGATACCGATGGCGTACCCACCGATAAGACGACCAACACAGAGGAGAGCAACGCCGTTGGAGGCGGCCTGCAGAATAGCGCCAACAATCCAGATGAGGGCGGCGATTTGTACAGCGTTCCTACGCGAAAGTCGATCGGCGAGGAAGGAAGAAGACAAAGCACCAACGAGAGAACCTGCAGGCATCGACGCAGTGATACCACCTTGGCGAGTGCCGCTAGGGTTGCCGAAGTAGTTCTTGTAAGCGGGAGTACCCAGCGCACCCGACATCGACGAGATGTCGAAACCGAAGAGGATACCACCAAGCGCGGCGAAGCCGCAAATGGCGTAGACATTGTAGATTTGTGGGAACTATAGCGCCATTGTCAGCGAGTGCACTCAGGAGCAATTGGGAGAACCAAGACCTACCTTCATCTTGCCAAGTCGCTGTGGCCAGTATGGGTTGATAAAGTTATGGGGCGATGTAAGAGAGAGGACAGTCAAGAGCTGGGAGGCTGCAGATTTATGGTCCCAAGAGCGCGGAGAGAGCGCGTGATCCTAACGGATGTAGTCTGTGCGGAAAGTCTTGGGTTTTACTATTCACTACAGCACTCTTTACCGCCCGATTGTAGCCTTGCTGACGGGAGATGTGGTTGGTTACATGTGAGAGCATTGTGACCCCGCAAACGGGTGTTGAACCAGGGCTTACGCAGATCCTACAGGAAACCGGCAACATGTCCTGGGGTAGTGCATGGCTGGGTGGCCCCCATAGTGGTTGTGCATAACGGCATCCAATAGGAGCAAATTCGACGCCGTGTTGGTTTCCAGTGCAATGGCACCTGCCAATACTACTCCGGCCCCGTGCTGTCGCACTGGCAAGGCGTGCGAGTAGTAAAGGCCAGTAATGTTGTGGAATGGAAACCGCCCTGATGTGCGTGGCAATCCGCAGGTGTAGAGACATGGACATGAGATACAGCAGATACTGGTTTGTTGTCTCGGACCATAATTCAATATGGAAAATCATCCGCAGAGCATAAGCTTCGTGTTCCAACCACACTCCAGGATCAGGTACTCGGTTCCGCTACGTTCAAACACCCGACTTCTGACATGTTGCAGGTGGTTTTCTGCGTTTGCCGTGGCCATCACCTGTAAAGATAGACCGAAGCGTGAATCCTGCGCTGGCCACAAGCCTGGGCAGAGGCGCGGCAATCGCACGATCATCTCACGACCACGGTGAAGGTGGAATCCTAGGAACATTTTTCAGGTCAACTTTTGACATCGGCAACAGGTGGAAGCAAAGCGATAATGCTTTTCAACCCCTCAGACATAGCGTGCTGTCTAAAATGCGCGCAAAGTGCTGTGGTTTTCGAGATGAGATGGCAAGGGAGGCCAGGAGATTGTGATTGTGATGTAAGAGGCGGGAGGCGCCAAGCATGCAGCGGCGCCGCCAACCGTCGACCCCAGTTCTCGGCTGGCTTTACTCCGCCCTGGAAAATCCAACACCAGCCAACAGTTCGATCAAAACAAAATTGTGGCGTTTCTCTGTAGCGACTGCCTATACGGACGATCGCATCGAATGCTGTTTCGAGCAGCACAGCCGGCGATGCCATTCGCACCCAGTTTCAAGGCCTCTTTGCTGACAGGCGTGCGCAGCATTGTGGCTTGGTTTTGAAATCTGGCGAAGCCAAGATGAGATCCAAGGAGAGCAATTTCATCAGGATGCGGGGCTCGGTAAGGACTACTGCATCTTCAAGGTGCCCTAGGTATACCCATGGCCGCCGCTCGGATGAGCCTGAGCACAACCAGCAATTCCGTCCATATAGAATGGTAAGAAGCGGCCACTACCTTCTCATTTCTTCTACAGCTTCCGCCCTTGCAAGACGTACGACGCGCAATTGCAGCACAAGCGTTCTGCTTTTGGCGGCAATCCGCGTCGATGAGATCTTAGCAGCTCTTGTGTAATTCGGGGCGTTCTCCAGATGATACCGATTCTTGATCAACGCCGGGTCGTGTATCTTCGCATTCCGGCATGGCATCCAATGCCGAGCCCATGTCATAAGACTGTACAAGGGGAGTAAGAGTTGGGAACAAAATGCGACTACTGACCCAGTATACCGAGCATAGCGACGAACGCATGCGAATGTTGTCTTGACAGCCTGGCGGGATCTAAGGCAGGTCTCGGAGCCTGGCTATTGACCGTCTAGCATGTACTACATTTCAGTACATTGATGTGGTGTGATAATAAGCTCACCCTCATCAGCCATCTTCTGTGGGTCCTAGACATTGTTACAATGGTTCCACGATCCCGAGCTTAGCTTAAAGCTTGGGGAACAGGGCTTGTCCGACATGGATGGTCTTTCTCGAAGATTCCTAGATGGGTTTGTGACCAAACAGATGACACCCGTCGAGCCGATACCCTTCGGTAATCTGAGGGCTGTGCTACAGGTACCTGATAGCGGAGTCTTGTCATATCATGACGCTGAGGACATGAGTCGGGATTTGTCGCCACACAATGAAGTTGGACGTCTCGCAATATCCAGTCCAATTCGGCTTGAGTTCAGACCATCAGGCTGAAGGTACCCCTGGATTGTAAGCAAGTGGACTCATCCATCACCGTGCAGCAGAAGATGTCGGCATCACTTTCGAAATGAACATCAGAGACATTGGCTACATAATACGGCCTATCTCGTTGGGTTCAGGCTCCGCCATGAGAACTTTCTGTTATCGCGTTACCTCCTTAACTGACTCTGAGGAGTCTGGAACGCTTATCAGCACTCTCGAGCAGAACCCCGGCTTCCTGATTGAACCTGCCAACTTCCGCCATCTTCGGCGACGCGCACATCCGCTTCGCTTCGCTGCGAAACTCGGACCTCAATATTCAAACATCCCTTAAGTTTGCATATTGACCCATGGTCATCTCCACGCTCATCTCTCGAAAAAGCAGCTTGAGTACCTCTCAGGTCTCCAAGTTGAAGCTTCCGCCTTCTATTCGCTGCTCACCGCGAGTAAGCGAACCAGTAGCACGACGCGATACCACACCACCTCCCAATCGCAACGCGCATCACAGTATCGCACACTTATAGCCTCATCACAGACCAACGTCATCTTGGAAAACGATGTTTTCGAGTCGTACCGCACCAAGACTCTATCGCTGCTTTCCTAGTTGGGCCTTGACTATTGGGCTGGCGGAGATGGAAGAGTGATAGTCCTGCATCAGATCGCGTGGGTGGACCTGCTGACGCGGGCAGCTGCCCTTGCTATAAACATGACAAGATGTCATATGTCTACATGTACTTGCTAGTACGTACTGCGCATCAACACCTCAACTCCGATATACTCGCAATCATCTTTCCCTACGCCAAACCGCCATCAAACCAGCAAAGCGACAAAGCCAACGCCAGCCTTTCATCGACTTGTTGAGGCTTACCGTGGCGAACCGCACAGGACTGTCAGCACGCGTGCAACGGGCCGCAGCTTGTGCTAGTCCCACCAATTATCACGACGTCGGTATCACTGGCCATTCGCATCGGCAAACAGCATATATCCCGCTCCCAAGCTTCCAGCCTGTTGGTGGAGATCGAAAGAGGCAAACTACGAGGACGCATCGCGCACTGCCTCATCGGGAAGTCAGCGTGAGGTTTCCAGCTAGTATCGCCGTCCCCGAGGTCTGTCGACAGATCTAGGGACAGGCGGTGAGGTACACCGTGCTCTTACCTGTGAGAATCGAGTAGAAAGTGCGAACCGCTGACCCCCGGAACACACGAAATATATCACCCATGCAACGGCCGATGATAGATATATCATCCAGTACACTGTGGGACTTTTCATATTCGATTATCCTGATATCTTGACAAACACCCTCACCTTCTTCATTCAGCCGCCGGGTCTCTACCGCCGCATAGCCGATAAGATTTCGCTCAGACACATACTATTTCGATACAATATCATCATCAGGAACGTCAGGGCTACCATGCCACACCACATCACCAATAGCGTCTTCGCACGCACAAGCCTAACAACCTGCGACGTCTTCATCATGGCTCTCGCACACTTGGGTCCAGGAACAGCGCCATCACCAGAAGAACTAATTGCAGCAGCGAGTCCCTGGTTCTTGGACGCGGAGACAGTCTGGTGGCGCAAGTTCCTCAACGGCACAGGATGAAAGTCAAGTTTCTTGAGGCTATGCCATCAGAAAACGCTTTTGCTTTACGCGGATTGGCCAAGGTATCCACGCCCCCAAAATATATTTGAGTCTAGTACGGCGCTTTCAACACAGCATGCACGTATGTCTTTGTGCAATCACTCGCATTGCCCCTCCAGCTCAAGACCTCATTACTCAGCGCACCCTCGCATATCGTCCAGCCTTCCCTCTGGCCATCCACCGTCAAGAGGTATCCCTCGTCCAACGCGATATTGCCCGCTGGCTGCACCGAGGCGAGGAACTGCAACTCCGACCCGGCTGTCACAACCGTACTGTTGAAACGAGAATACGTGTTGCCGAAGGGCGCCAACGCGATGGTGGAAAGTGTGCCGTCTGCCAGGGTGAAGTTGGGCAGGGAACCGTAACCGGGGCCTGTGAGGCGGAGGAGAAGGGCAGGTTGGTGGAAGGGGTCCTGTGCAAGGTTAGATTTCCGACGGGTTATTTGGAAGGGCTGATGTATGGGCTTACGAATAACGAGGTGGCGGATACGGCTTTGAGTTCGGAGGTATTCGCACTAGCATCTATTTGCGAGGTGGTGACGAGCAGGAAGTTGGTTAAATTTGTTGGCAGCGCAGCGGAGATGGACGCGCTCGCAATGGCGAAGGAGAGAAGAGATGAGAAGCGCATGCTTAATTGTAATAGCAGTAACAAAAGATCAGAAAGACACACAAATGACTTGAGAACAGCTGAAATATCGATGAAATGTTTCGAAACAAACCCAACAGCGTCCCACCCCTCCCACCTATATATCCCCAACCTCTCACCCGCGATACCGGGACCGAAACCCTGCACGAAGTAAAAACGACGATCCCACGTCCCACAAAGTCCGCATGCACACCATCATAGGCCACTGCGCGATCTATCAAGCACGTTTACGCGTGAAAGGGTAACCTACCTGAAGCTTTTCAGCCACCCAATCGCCGCCGTAGCTCGCCACGACCCTGCCGATCAGTCTATGCGCATCCCTGCATGTACAGCTGGGAAATGCGTTTGTTAAGCTTGAGCTTTCGACGTCAGGGACCAACCAACGGGACGGGGATGGGTGGGGGATGCGAAACACAGGGCTGGCTAGGACTTTGAGTCGGCTAGTTTGCTGACGTGTGAAGAAGAGTCATTCGAACCACGAGTTGTAGACTTCGATGGTGGGCTGAGCAAACAATATTGCAATGTCAGACTTGGAATTGGGGAAGGTTGCCTGAGATTGAGGCATGGAAATGCTGTGGCTGGTGGGGGATCTCCACTGCGTCATCGCATTGTCGCGTGAGTAGCGTGGCCGTAAGAAGCCTAGTTTTGCCGGTTGGGTCCACCCAGCACTACTTGTGGCGACGCAACGAGGCTGTGGTGCCCGGGTTGTCAGGTCTCCTTGAGGTGGATGGGGGAGTAAGGTAGGTACGGAGTACCGTGTGCCAACACTATTATGAAAGTCTCAAGATAATACAGGGGCATGGCGGTGATAGTCGGTGGCGAGTAACGCAAGACCAGAGTCAAACATTACCGACCAGAAGACATCTGGAGAGCGGATTGGAGAAAGAACATTAGCATGTTTTTGTCCTTGTTTGCTATTATCAAAGGTATCATACAGAGTGCTCGACTCAAACTTGGGTATGCCGAGCGCCCGCCAACGCCAAAGTAAATGCCGATTTGAACGAATCGTGACCTGTGTCTTCCGCTGATGCACATTACCCTACTATCCTTATATTATGCCCTATCCTGTGATGACCAGTCCGTCTAAGCAGGAGTTGCGATTGCACCGTCGCCTAGTACCCTCGCGACTAGGATGTATAGCATCATCGCTCCGAGTACGATCCTCCACTTGTTGCGGCTCAGCCAGCCTTGACCTGCATCTCGCGCTATTTGCGCTGCATCTTGAACGACCGTTGCGCTTGTGCCGGGGCGTCGTCGCAGACCCGAGACGTCGGGCGAGCAGGCTGGCTGCTGCGAGGGGGTTGGTGCTGCCGGCCGTGGTAGGCCCGTGAGGGGGTCGATGCGGTTCTCCTTCATCCACTTGAGATTCTCCTCGTCGACATCCGGCCACTCGTGTCTGAACTTTGCGCCGCCATCTCCAGCCCGGATGTTGCCGTTCTGGCGACCACCGGCGTTGTCTGACCCAGATGCTTTGCTGCCGCCGCCTGTGCTGTTCCACCACCGTGTGCGCTTGGCGAAGAGTTTCCGCTCTGCTTCTGATGCCCGGACGCTACCCGTAGTAATCTCGTCGCTGGTCATGAAACTCAGCAGGCCTGTCAGAATCGTGCTGACCTCCCATGCGGGGTTGAAGCTCTTAGGGTGGAAGTCGGAGATGCTGAGGCACAGCCGGCTGCTGGGCTGGAATCGACCGGATGGTGTGTGCATGCGGATTGCGGGCGGCGCAAAGGGGTAGTCGGGCGGGAAGTTCAGCGTGCCCCAGTACTGACCGCCATGGTAGGGTGTGTCTGGTGGGCCGGTGATGATGTAGTGCCATTCTAGGATGTTCCTATCCGAGGGGTGTGCAGTAATGAATGGCGGTGGTGATTTGGAGATGGAAGCGTATTCTCTTGTGAGGCGCTTGGTGGCTGCTGGCGTCGCCATGGTGTGTGAATGTGGGGGAAGAGAGAGTGAGTGGGTGGTTGGGGTAGTCGACGTGTTCCTGGGCGGAGATAGTTGACGTCGACAATCGGATGCGCTGTATAGGTGGCCACCAGATAACAGTGCAGAAGGCGTGGTACGTTTTTCAGTGATTACCCCGCGATAGACAAAGGATAAGAATCACAAAGGCAGGCGCGATAGGTGAATTAGGTCGTTGGTGAAAGAGTTCGGGTCGCACGTCCAGACGACCTTGGAACAGTTGGAGAGTAAGCGCACGTGCATCCGCCGCCCGCGGCGATCCAAAGTTCAAGGTTTCTGAACAACGCCAAGCATCACGCACGCAGACACAGACAGCCCAATGGCTTCGCCGCATGAAGACGATGTGAGTAGGCGTGCATCGTGGGAGTAATGGCACATCGCTAATTGGGCCCCAGGTCTTCGAAAGGCTCAAGAACAAGACGGACCTGAACGAGCAGAAGCGCCAGCAGGATGAGCTCAATGCGCGGCTCTACGCCCAGCAGCAGAGGTCGAAGGAGAGGCTGGGAGAGCTGGTATGCATTCTGGATATTCAATTGGGGCTGTTGCTGAGGCTGCGCTAGATTGACGACAACTCGTCGCTACCCGTGACGATATCATCGGTCCGCATCCTTCATGCCAACCGCACACGAAGAAGCTTCCTCGAGCGAGTAGTCGACCCCCTGCTGAGCGCAAACCGGGACCGGCCATACACTCTCGAAGATGCGATAAAGGAAGTTGGCGAAGCTACCGATAAGCTCAATCGTTTTGGTACGTCAGCACGCGACGGAGGGGCTCGCATTTGTTTAACATTGGCTAGGTATCTTTAAGTCGCCAATATCAGTCTACCTCGACCGTCCAAACCAGACCATCGCCTCTTCCTCCCCCACGGATGTTGACGTGTATATATCGGCCCAGGAGCGCGGCAACTACACCATCAAGACCGGAACTGAGGCTGGAGCCTCTGAAGCCGATGCCTACGTCCACGCCGAACTACGAAATCTGCTTGGTGGAGCCGAGACGCTGAACGCACACGGATCGCTGGGCACGCGAACACGGTCTGCCTACTCTCTCGCCTTCGACAGTCCCATCCTCAGCAACCCCGATCTCAAGTTCCAGGTCAACGGATTCGCGAGTTCGACACTGAAGAGCTGGGCAAGCCATGAGGAAGTCCTCAAGGGAGGAAACTCAAAGCTGCTATGGAGGATGAAGAACGGTGCGACACACGAATTTGGCTACTCTGGCATCTGGCGACAGGTGACTAGTCTGGCTGAGAACGCATCGCCCTCTGTTCGCGCAGATGCTGGTGACTCATTCAAGTCGAGCATCTCGCATACCTGGGTCAACGACAAGCGCGACTACCCTCTCCTGCCTAGCAGCGGCTACTTCTTGAAGACCGTATCCGAACTCGCAGGTTGGGGACCGCTGAAGGGCGACACCGCATATTGGAAGACAGAGGCAGAGTCGCAAGTCGCTCTCCCCTTCGGCAACACAGGCATCACGCTTACTGCTGGTCTACGGGGTGGACTTCTCTACCCCATGGCTTTGGGCGGGGAGAGCCAGCCCCAGGCCTCGCGCATCAACGACCGCTTCCAGCTCGGCGGCCCCAACAACGTTCGTGGCTTCCGCATCGCTGGTCTTGGTCCTCGTGACGGCGCTGATGCACTAGGTGGCGACATCTACGCTGCTGGTGGCGCATCGCTCCTCCTCCCTATCCCGCGCGTCGGCAAGGAAACTCCTCTCCGTCTCCAAGCCTTCATCAACGGTGGCCGTCTCCTCGCACTCAAGAACCCCAACTCCAAGAAAGAAGACGGGTCATTCGGCAGCTCAAGCGACGTAACTGGCGCGATCCAAAAGTCCTTCTCCAGTCTCACTGCCGAACTTCCCAGCGCGGCAGCTGGTCTAGGTCTCGTCTACGCACACCCTGTTGCAAGGTTCGAGATCAACTTCTCTCTACCACTCGTCATGAGGGCCAAGGAGGAAGGCAGGAAAGGACTGAGCTTCGGCGTCGGCATCGAGTTCTTGTAGACACAGATCCAAGTGTGTAAATGTGTATTTGTAGGCCGTATAGACTTCCTTCTCGAGCAAGCAGATCACTTCTTTCTCAATCATTCTCATGTTCATATGTCTCTCGCATTCAGTTCGAAAATCTACCCCCTACAACTAAAAGATCTAGCTCCCTACCAACTGCGGCCCCTCGAACACCTTCTGCGGATCATACACGCCCTTGATCCCCACCAACCTCTCATAATGCTCTCCCCAATACCTCGAATGCGCATCCGCCTTGGTAAGGTTCGTATCCGCATAATTGATATACATGCCAAACTGCTCGCCCTCACTCGCCTTCTCAATCGCATCGACCCAGCCATTCAAGAATTCCATCATCTTGGGCGTGTACGTCGCGCTGTCAGGGAAAATGCGGTCGTTGAACTGCATCTTGAAGACGGCGTTGCGGTGCGAGTACGACGTCTCGTCCGCGGGTACTTTGGAGATGGCAGAGCCGGAGCCGCCGTGCATGTCGATGAGGAGGTACCAGGATCGGCCACGGATGTTGCGCGCGGTGGTGAAGTAGTAGTCTGCGAGGGCGGTCATGGCGGCGGGCGAGAGGTACTCTGGCATGAGGGACTTGGCGTAGAAGTTCTCGTGGTAGTCGTATATTTCTGGTTGGGGCAACGGGCCATTGGAAAAGGATGTCAAAGTGTCGATCCATTTCTTCGTTGAAACGGTGCCTGCGCCGCGTCCCTCAAGAGGGATGTTGAGTTTGGTAAGCAGCGGGTTCATGATGGTGTCAAAGGCGCTGCGGTTGCCATAGTATACGCCCGTTAGTTGGTTGGGGAGGAACATGCGCATGTTTAGCTCCGGGGGTTGGTCGTGGATGGTGAAGTTTTGGAGGACGGTCAGGATGTTGGCGAGTTGCGATGTGTTGGATGGGGAGAGGTTGTAGGAGAATACGAGGTTGCTTTCGGGGGCGTCAAACGTTTTGAACTTGAAGTCGGTGACGATGCCAAAGGCGGCGCCGGCGCCTCGTAGGGCCCAGAAAAGGTCTGGGTTCGAGGTTGGTGACGCGGTTACTACGGTGCTGTTGTGAAGGACCACGGTTACGGAGACAAGTTGGTCCAGTGTGAGGCCGTGTAGGCGAGATGACATGCCGTAGCCTCCGTGCAGTGTGAGACCGCTTACACCGACGCTGAAGAGTGTGAGTAAACGCATGTGTTGGTGATGAGGATGAGGACCTACCCAGGACATGTTCCGTGGCTGATGGCTTGCTTGCCTTGGTCGTAAAGAGCCAGAGCAATATTACCCAGTCTTCCACCAGCTCCAATAACAGCTGTGTGTGCTTCTTGATCAACAGTCACGCTGTTGAAGCGACGCATGTCGACGATCAAGTGTCCATCTTCTCCTCCAAGACCATGTGATCCATAGCTGTGGCCTCCGCACTTGGGAGTGACTTGAACACCACTCTCAACTCCGCAAGATACAGCATCTTGGACATGTTTGACGGTCTGTGGTACGACGTAGGAAGCCGGTTTGAATGGTAAACGAAGATTGAAGGGCTTGACTGCCTGAGTATAGTTCTTGGTGCCTGCGGCATATACAGGAACCTGGCGAGACTCAAGGCATTCGCTCAATGTGGTATTCGCAGCGGTAGTGCAAGAAAAGAGAGCGCAGGCTGCAAATAGCCATGTGTAGTATTCTTTCATCATTCTGGAAGTCGGAAAGTGGCTTGGCTGCCCAGGAAAAATTCATCCGCTAACGTCCTCGCGATACTTATGGATTGCTTGAATCCTAGAGGTGGATTCTGATGATGAGATACATATTGACCCAATACACTACGGCTGAAGACCCAGAAAACATATCTGACCAGGAGACATGACTGCGATGAAGGGATGAGAATGCCCAGAGTGGAAACCTTGCTCTTTCCTTGGATCCTTCGTCGGAATCGTGGGGATTCCAAGAGGATTTGGTACTGGTAATAACAGATCTTGCCTCCATCGCACGACAACTTCCAAGCTACGGCTATACCAAGAAGCGGTGGCTTCAGCTTGATTTACCTCTTGGCAAAGATTGGTCGCAGAAAGATTAAGAGATGCCACCTCGTCTATACCCACACACGTGTCCAGGTGCGCTGCAGCCGCATCCACGTACCGACATAGGGCAGCGGCGTGGCGGCTGCATTCCCGGTATAAGGCCTGGCCAAGAGATCTTAACATGCGCGTGCCCGAGATGAAAGACCGAAATGCAAGGCTACTGCAATTTCGCCATGTTGATCAACCTGGGGTCGGCAACCGGCTGAAACGTTGTACCCCTGCTCGAAACATGGCTGTAGATTGCTATATATTGTCCGACGTGCGGCCTTTAACCGGCTTGGACAATCGCATACTCACCGAGGCTGAAGTGGCACCCTCGCTTTCAGCAAAACGCATGATGGAGTCGGTTGTTTAGTCCAAGAGGGTGTAGTCAGGTGTTTCATCGTCGTAGCTCCGAAATGTCGAGTGCGGGCGCGTGACGCAAGGCGGTCTGGTGGAAATGTCAAAGAACACACGTCGAACATACAAAACGATGCTACTTCCCTGTGCTTCAAAGTCAGTAACAGATACGTCCTGACTCGCAAACCATATTCATCATGGTCCATTCACATTCACTCCTTCTACCGCTGTTCGGCACGGCCGCGAGTGCGGCAAACTTGTGGGCGACGCACTACTCCGGCACCATCAACTACCTGTCGTTCAACAGCAATGCCTTGACTCTCAGTAGTTCGGCTTCTACTGGCAATAAGCTGCCTAGTTGGATTACGTACGACAGTGCTGGAAAGGCGCTCTATATTCCAGATGAGGTCTTCCAGGGCCAAGGAGGCGGAAACTTGGTGTCCTTCTCCACGGGCGCGAACGGCAACGTAACCTCAATCGGAAAGGGCTCTACACCTCAAGGTGTGGTTGCGACAACGCTCTATGGTGGTCCGGATGGAAGAAGCTTCATTGCCAATGCCC